AAGTAAAGTCTAGATTTTGTAGCTAGATGACAAGAAGAAACACATAGAAATAGAGGCAGAGGTAAGTCTGAGGTAAAGTGCTTCTTTAAAAAATATGTGAGTTTTTTCTAATGACCTATTTGCTTCTCTGTGCACAAAGAGCCTATCTGTAAATTAACAGATGTTACCTATTCAGTATAAAAGTTCAAGGCAAAAAAGCTGACCATGGAACTAAAGAACTGTAAAACAATAGCAATTAGATGTTTCTTATTGGGCATTAACTTCATCTTGCTTTTTTATTCTGGATAGAATCAAAGCTAACCAAACTGGCAGAAGTACAAAATATACTGAATTAAGATTAAACATACACCTCATTTCTAATGTCTGGAAGAATCAATTATGTTTTCTCTGCTCCTAGAAGGATTACCCTTGAATGTTCTATATAGTTGGTGTCCATAGAAGAAAGTGTTTTCTTTATTCTGTTTGTTGTACTTCTGACCACACTTATCTTCTGTTAAAGATATGCAGTTAAACACTTAACAATGAGCCATTTGTATGTTTGGATAGATATAGGTGTAGAAAATCTCAGATCAAGGACAAATAGGCTACCTATTGATCTTTTAAAACACTTGGGGTTGGGGAATTAAATGACATGGATGAGCAGAAACTTGCTATAAATTGTTACTCTGGGTTACACATAATATAAACCCAGTTCAATTGTTTTGTTTCATAATATCCGAAAAAACTGAAGACTTTGATTTAAGTCACTTGTGGTCAATGTAAGAGAACCCATGGTGTTTTGCAATTGGATTCTAACAGTCAATACACAGCAGGGTTATTGATTCTTCTAACCTCACATGAAAACATATTTTCCAAACACTAAGCCAAAACAAAATTTTGATCTGTTTCATTGACAGATCAGAGAGCAAAGTGAGATTTTGACTTTTGCCTTTCTCTTTCACATGTCATCAAATTTCATGGCCTCGATACAATACAAATACATAGGGTGTGCAAGGGAAGGATTGGGTTTCAACAAGTCTGAGTCATGATGCCAAAATTGGTTTGGTGAACCTTTTTGGGGTTGCACAAAATAAAATATTATATGATAACTTAAAACATATCTCAAAAAAAGAGGATATGAAAGATAATAGCATTGTGAGCAACACATGATAATCAAATTAGTTTTGCTGTTTTAAAATTACAATCCCAAATAAGTCCCATTCATCTTTTAATACTTCTTGATGCATTAACTTTAGGTTTTCTGCACATGTTATTGTAATGGTAGTAGCTGGTCATAATAAGTTCCTCAGCCTACATAAACAGAACTTAAGACTGTTAGATTGCACTGATCACAATGGCAAAGGAGCACGGATGCTAAAATTAAAAACATCTTTAGGTCATCAAGCTGGGGAAGATATATCACGGTCCTTGAAAGCTCCAGAGTCCAAGCTGGCAATATGCCTTGTATGGCGTGGGTACTGCCTTTCCATCATAGTCTGCTTAATGTTACCATTTTCAACCTTATGCTCTCCACACCCAACATTTCTAGTCTGCATAGCAACTACTTGCTGGAGAGGTTGGCAGGTGTAACATGTGGAGAGTACTAGGCTGGTGTGCATGTGTTCATGTATGTATGAGAAGTGGTCGTGATGCATTAGGTTGTCATGGTATCCTGCTAGGCAGCAGCTGTGGTGGCAAGGCATCCAACTGATGAGAGTGGTTGGCATGGCAACCTCAAGGGGCCTGCCTTTATTCTGCCCATACTTAAAGGTTTGGGTGGGGAAGGTCTTTCTTGGAGTGGTTATCCTAGGACCACATCTGCTGGTACTACTGCCATAAAGCACATGATGAGGCCCATCTTCAGCCACTGAGGAGCCTTCTGGAGGAGAGGGCGGCTCCTTAGATGCCAGGAGCGCTCTTCCCTCCTAAGAAGCGTGTTGCCATGGCGCCAGTTTCAACGAAGATGCGGTTGCCATGACAGCAATGCGGAAGGCAAGGTGGAAGGAGCACCACGCGCCGCGACCTCCGGACGCCAGGGGACGCTGCCGAGCGGAGGGGAGGCGGAAATGTGATATGACATAACGCGGGGTGGGCACTCTATCTTCCCGCCGCTTACTCTATGGCATCTGTCCGAATTTCGGGTTTCTGCGTCGTTTCTGCTTCCAGGATGGTGCTGCCAGTCAGCTGCAGAGAACTCGTTGGTGGGATTAGGTCCGCCTTTTCTGGCGGAAAGATGGCGACCGCCAGTGCTGTCGAGTGATCGGTGGAAGTCTTCCCCGTCAGGAGTGAGTTGGGGCGGGAAGCGTCGCGGTGGGGCTTTCCCTTGCTGCATCCTCCCCTGATACGCGTGGGGGCTCTGGTCCCACGCGTGGGGAGGGGAAACACGGTTCTCCACGCTCTGTTCGCTGTAGCCCCAGGGCTGCCCCTGCCTCTTTCAACTCTCTTCCGGAAAGGGGTTTCGATCACCCCTCTGGGCTCTCCCGTAAGAAACTGAACCGGCGAAGGGTCGATTCAAGCTGGTCCCCAAACCCCGGCATCTTGCGGGCCGTAAATCATTGAAACCTCTACGTAGTCATTGAAATGACTGAAGGATGCCGTGGCCCCAAAGGACCTGCGGGGGAATTTCCCATTGTGGTCTCTATTTTCTTTGACCCGGTGGCCCTGACGTTATATTTCTGTCAAGTGGGGGAAATCGTTTCTCTGTGAGTGAAACTGCCCACCTTAATAGATGGCTAATTCTGTAGACTTCCCTCCTTCCACTTAGGTGAGAAAACTTCTGTAGAAAGGGGGGTGCTGGCTGGTTGGGTGAGGAGTGAACACCTCTGACTGCAACGTTTTAAGAATGCCTTTTATTTACAAGGCTTCTATCCTGCCTTGCTTCCAGGAGACTAAAGCGGCACACGTAATGCTCCCTCCTCCAATTTTCCCTGCAACAATTACCCTGTGAGTAAAGTTGTGCTGAGAAAGAATAACTGGCCCAAAGTCACCCACTGAGTTTTTATGGCTGAGGGTGGATCTGAACCTGGATCTCCCCACCTCATTGGCTCTACTTACCTACCTACCTACCTACCTAAGAAACTCCCTTCCACCAGATCAGCTCCGTATTGTCTATCCTGACTTACAGTAGACTTTCAGGCAAGTGTTTTTTCCACCTGCATCTAAATATTTGAAATGTTCTAAATATAAAATATTTATTCTGCCGCCGAGTTATGACCATTTTACATATGTTTAAGAAAGAAAGGGGGGGCGGGGGAGAACAAGGAACAAACTAATAATATTCAGTTTAAAGTCAGCTGAGACATACTGCATTCTGCCCCAAATTTGGAAACACTAGGTAGAATGGTTGGGCTTGGATTCAAATTTCTATTCAGATTCTAAAGTTTTTGTCAGTCCAATCTACCTCACTTAGTTACAAAGGAAAAAAATATAAAGAAAACCCTAAGAAGAAAGATGGAAATCCATGCTATTACAGATGTATTGCTGCTGTTTGAACCCCCTCATTCTTATTTGCATCAGGTTGGATCATATTTCATAACAGGTTGAATCAGTAGTTTCAGCTGCTCTTTCTGATATTCTGAATTACTAGATTACATCATTGCTACTTCAAGTTGAATGAAATACTCCAAAAGAGGGATGGGTTTTCTCCTAATTTTTAATCAAGTCTTCTGAGCAATTTGTAATTTACATTAAATATTAGCTTGTTTCATTTGGGAAAAGAAAAAGGAGTGCCTACATAATTGTAAGCATATTATAGCTCAGTTCATGTGATAGTAATTTTGGAAAGCAGTACAAAATATTGGAGAATCTTGTGGCAACTTAAAAATTAGTATATTTGTTATGACATAAACCAGAGGCTGAATTCACCCTGTCATCACAGATTTAGTTTTAGAATTGGCTGCCTTTTGTAAGAACACAAATGTGTTTCATCTTAAATAGATGTGGGTTTAAGACTGACGTCTGTTTCCTTGAATGTCTTCCTTCTCTCTACAGTTTCACTATCATTGCCCCCAAATTTTCCATTACTTGACAATATGATCTGCCCTGTGGCTCTATCAGATCCCAGCATTCCTGGGACATTCTCTGTTTGAAGAAATTAGGATGGAACATGAGAACCCAACCATCAGACCTCGTCGGATCCAGAACCAGAATGTAATCTATCGTTTAGAACGTCGAAGGATCACCTCTGGAAAAATCGGGACGCACTGGCACCAAGTCCGCATCTTCCATCAAAACATTTTTCCCAATTTTACTGTGGTCAATGTTGAGAAACCACCCTGCTTTTTACGAAAGTTTTCCCCTGATGGAAGGTACTTCATTGCCTTCTCCTCAGATCAGACTTCTCTGGAGATCTATGAATACCAGGGGTGTCAGGCAGCAGAGGATCTACTCCAGGGTTATGATGGAGAGATCTTGGCTAATGGCAATGACCAGAGGTCCATCAACATCCGTGGGAGGCTCTTTGAACGGTTCTTTGTCCTTCTTCATATTACCAATGTGGCCTCCAATGGTGAGCACTTGAACCGTGAATGTAGCTTGTTTACAGATGATTGTCGATATGTTATTGTTGGCTCTGCTGCCTATCTGCCTGAGGAGCCTCATCCTCCCTTTTTTGAGGTTTACCGCAACAGTGAATCAGTGACTCCTAATCCCAGATCTCCTTTGGAAGATTATTCTTTGCACATTATAGACCTTCACACAGGTAGGCTGTGTGATACCCGAACATTCAAGTGTGACAAAGTCATCTTATCCCATAACCAAGGACTCTACCTATATAAGAATATCTTGGCTATTCTCTCTGTGCAGCAGCAAACTATCCATGTCTTTCAGGTAACTGCTGAAGGCACCTTTATTGATGTACGAACTATAGGACGCTTTTGCTATGAGGATGACCTTCTCATGCTTTCTGCTGTCTATCCAGAGGTCCAACGGGATTCGCAGACAGGAATGGCAAACCCATACAAAGAGCCATTCATCAATTCTCTGAAACACAGGTTGTTAGTCTATTTGTGGCGAAGGGCAGAACAAGATGGGAGTGCTATGGCTAAAAGGAGGTTCTTTCAATATTTTGACCAGCTGAGGCAGCTTCGCATGTGGAAGATGCAGTTGTTGGATGAGAATCATCTCTTCATCAAATACACAAGTGAGGATGTAGTCACATTACGAGTGACAGATCCTTCACAGGTAGGAATCTAGCTTTTTTGAGGGACTTACCTGACAGATTGTTGAAATTACTTTGCCAGTCATTTATACCCTGTTGTTAAACCTTCCCCAACACTGGTCCTTCCAGATATTTTAGCTTGCATCTTATATTATCCTTGACTGTGAGCCAAGCTGTTTGCAGTTGATGGAATGTGTAACCTAAAACATTTGGAAAGTCTCAGAGCTACTGTTATCCATGCTTCCAATCAATATACTGCAATGAGGTAGTTTGTGCTGTGAAACAATAAGTAGAGATTTCTTGAATTGCATTGAGAGACTCCCCTAGTCCACCCTGCTTCCAATCAAGACTACACAAATTCTTTCTGTAAGGACAACAGAAATGAAGGCGCAGTTATTCTATATTGGTTGACGTATGCTTGGAAGGTCTTCGAATCTGGAGGTCCCAGTTACAGTAGACAAGTCACAATATTATAAGAACCCCACTGAGTTAGACCAATGGGCCATCATGTGGTGTCATATAGGGACCAACTAGACGCATTCAAGAATTTGTAAACATAGAAGAGCTATAGCTTTTTTCAACTGCTGCTCTTCAGCAGTTGATACCTTTCATTCTGGAGATTAACACTTTGTCCTAACTGGAGTTGTTAACAGTTCCCCAGGTATATGAAGTAAGAGGGGTAGGAACTCAAAGACAGTTTTTCTGTAGTAGACTTCACTTTGTGGAACAGTCTTCCCACCTTCCCCCTGACTCCAGGCCTGGTTGGTGCCCATCTTGGCGTCATTCCCGCATGGCATCAAAATGCAATTTTTCTATATTGCCCTTAAGGTATAATTATCATATTAGGGCTGATGCCTTTGGTTAATGTTTTATCCGTTACTCTTTTATTTGATTATGGGTATTTTGGGTAATTTTATTGTATTTTGGTTTTGTCTGCTTGTAAATGGTAATGAGTCCATCTGATTCAACTGTATACAGAGATGAAAATAAAGAACTATCAAACTTAGTAGCCACTGATAGCTCAGTCTATCCGGTACCCCTTTAAACCATCATTGCCTCATTAGATGGCAGCAAATTCTGTAGTTTTTGTGTGTAGAATAAATAATCGTTTTGAATTACTGTTTTGAACTTCTCCATATTTTGTTTAAATGGGTGACCACCAATTTTAAAGTATGAGAGAAAGAAAAACTCTCTATCCACATTTTCTGCATGTACAGAAATGTACAGAATCTTCCTACCAGACTCTACTCCATGTAAAAAAAAACCCTCCGGTGCTGCCATATTTTCTCATGGGGGACTGATTCTTTTTAAAATGTGTTGATCAGAACTGTACATCTTATTTTAAATATGGTCTTGCATACAGACACACACATTACTGTACTGGCTGCTTTATTTTCAGTTATCTTCCACATGATTCCTAGCACAGATTTTTGCCATTTTATAGGGTTAGCATTGTCACTGAAGTATCTACTATGACTACAAAATCCTTTTCCTGATCAGTCAGCTTATCTCTCATTAATGTAAAAGTTGGTTGTTCAGAGTAAAAAACAACCCTGAGTCTAATATGGTTTGGATTCCTGAAGCTCTGCTTTGGCTGTTTATCTTCACTTTTCATACATTTTAGATGCATACAGACATGCATCCCACATGGAGCAAGAGATGTAATTTGCCAGGAGACCTTCTTGCCATGCCTATACACACGGCAGGGACTAAAGCAAACAATGTTCCCCCAAAGGACTGATAAATTTCAGTTATCTAAAGAAAGAAAACTCATGCTGGCTGACAGGACAGACTTCCTGGAGGGCTTCATAAGATTATTGCAAGAATGCAGAAAGAACCCAAATGGTAGGGGGTGGGAGTGGGGAAAGATGATTGGTGCTGGATAAATTAACCCAAGATTTAAAGAAATGATGGAGGAACATATCCTGAGAGTTAGCAAATGTTGATAAGGGTGTAAGAGAATATGAGAGAGTTATTATTTGTAGAACAAAAAAGGAACAAAAGAAGGTTGAACATTCGGCGAAATGGGCCTTTATACAGTTGTTATATGACACGGTATCTCTGATTGCACTCTTCAGTGAAAAGCTGTATGTTTTTTTGTTGGGGTTACGTCTTAGCTCTTCACAATTCTCCCTTACTTAGGTGAGTAAGCTGGGCTCATAAGACATTTACTTGAAGCCGATGCTTCTAAAACTATTGGCTTTTCTTGATGGAGAATCAACATGGTATGAGGTTTTTCAGATAATCACTTTGTTGTGTATCCAATATGCAGTGTTTTCAGTTGCTTGTGGCAGTTCAGTGGAGGGCCTAAGCACACCTATTGTGATTGGAAGTGTCGTATGAAATACGGTTGCCTCCATGTTTCAAGCATTGATCGCTGCCACAGATATATGGCAGTATCCATTCTGAGTATTATGCCAGCCAGATCATGCTTCTAGAATTTCACTGCTTTTTTGGCCCCACAAATATCTTTGACAAAGATGGTTGCAGCAGAGCTGAATGGGGAGATATAATACAGAAATTGGTTCATGTCCAGCAAAGCAGGGGCTGGGGTCAACTGAGCATGGGGAAAGCCTGATTTTTCTTATAATTTTATAAATAGGTATATAACATTCATGACAATATAAGCTATAGCTTTTTTAAAAAAGAAAAAAAAAAGATTCTCAAGATGCATTGCTGGAAAAACTTAAGCAACAAGTCTCTAGAGATGCAGAAATATGATCAAGATTTTGCATTTATCTGCAACATATTTCCTAAGGAAAAATGTCTTTACCACTGCTTAGGTGACTCTGTAAAATCAAAATATACCTTTTCAACATTCTTGGATAAGAACAACAGTAATTCAAAAGAAATACTTAATGGCACTCATCCTTTCTTTTCCCAACCAGCAGGAGATCCTAAACAGTACACTGTTTACAGGCAGCAACAGAGCACAGTGCAGTTTAAAAGACTCATCTCAGCATGTTAGAAATATTAAGATAGCAAAAGAAAATGACTGTCCCCCAACCCCTTCCCAAATAAGTCGTACAACTCTCACCTCTCTGCATATACAGGAGTAATCAGCTGCCAGCTCACACCTGACTGAAAAAAAAAAGAAAGAAAAAGCCCCATCTCCCAGCAGGAGCAAAAATTAAATCTGCTTCTCTGAGAAGAAAAGCAAAATAATGTTTGGCAGAGAAAGGAGAACTGGAACATCGATGTGTCCAGTTTGAAATAAACAAAGCAAAAAAAGAATTGGAGGAATTTCACATAGCTTTGCAAATGATTTGACAGTGGTTAATAACTAAGTTAAATTTGCTCTCATTTCAGACGGTGGAAAATACAATGAATTAGTGACAAAATGCAGGATTTTTCCTGTGCCCAGCCACAAAACAAGCATTTCCTTTGGTTGCTGGGTAGTGGTGGGAGTTGCTTGCTCACCTGGTTACTACCTCTTCTACCCAACTGGCATCAATTTCTGCTTCCTTCTTCCAGCCTTCGTTTTTCGTTGTGTACAATATGGTAACTACTGAGGTAATTGCCGTCTTTGAAAACACATCGGATGAGCTGCTGGAACTCTTTGAGAACTTCTGCGACCTCTTCCGCAACGCCACCCTCCACAGCGAGGCCGTTCAGTTCCCTTGCTCAGCCTCAAGCAACAACTTTGCCAGGCAGATCCAGCGCCGGTGAGCCTCATGCATTCTGTTAACCCAGTAGGAGCCACAAAACCAGCAAACTTGAAGGGGCTAAAACTGGACTTCAGTTTCAGCTCCCCAAATTAATTGTATTTGTTCTCATGTCTTCAATATATATGAAGGGTGGCCAGCCTTTTGGTAGGCAAGGCTGATATTTAACACTTTTGGGAAAGGGAAGAGCAGCAGTGGGTCAGGCAGTGATGCAGTGTAGGTGGGACTGTGCCACACTGTATTTTTGTAGATGGGGAGAAGCAGGAATTTGGCTTTTTTAAACAGTTATTTGATTGATTGATTGATGGATTATGTGCGATCAAGCCATTGTCAACTCTTAGTCACTACACAGATAAATTTTCTCCATGTCCCTAACCTTGTCTTTCAGGTCTTCCAACAGTGCACCCACCACCACTATAACTGAGTCCCTCCACCTTGCTTCTGGTCATCCTCTTCTTTTCTTTCCTTCCACCTTTCCCAGCATTAGAGCCTTTTCCAGAGAGTTAGGTCTTCGTAGGATAATATGAGGCTGGTCATTTGTGCCTCAAGTGAGAACTCTGGATTGATTTGTTTGATGATCCATCTGTTTGTTTGCTTTCTTAGCTGTCCATGGTATTCTTACTTTACAGTTTATATTACAGCTTTTCTGTCTTGCTATGCCTCTTATTCTTGCCAGCTGTAGTTGGAAGGGACTCCAGGAGCTGCACAAGATCCTGGGGACCATCTGGTGTATATGATGCTTTAATAATAACAATAACAACAACATTTCTATCCAGTGGCCTCCAGATATTTTGGACTACAGCACCTGCAGTGCCAATATTTGTGCTGGCTGAGGCTGATGAATGTTGAAGTCTGAGACACCTGGAAAGCTTCAGATTGTCTGCTTCTAATGCAGACTCTTAAAGTATTCCTCACCTTGTAAGATAGATCATTATGAATATTCTCATATACAGTGGGGCAAAAAAGTATTTAGTCAGCCACCAATTGTGCAAGTTCTCCCACTTAAAAAGATGAGAGAGGCCTGTAATTTTCATCATAGGTATAACTCAACCATGAGAGACAAAAT